GGGGAAGTGGTAGAGGTAGAAGAGGTGATGAGATGGTGTAGGGGAGAGAGAGAGAGAGGGGTGGGAGAGTAGGTTAGTGGAAAGAGATGATACCAGGCTCTTGGTTTGCCAAGCGCAACAAGATCACCAAGATCCCCAGGATCTTGGCCTTCTAGCAACCTTCTGCTGCAGTAGAAAATAATAATAATAATAATAATGAAACAATCAAGGGTTGGCTGAGATCTTGATCAGCCACCCTGAATGCACTAACCCGCAGCCCTCTAGCCAAGGGGGTCGTCACTGCTGCCAAACTGCTGAGATCTTGATCAGCCACCCTGATCGCACTGACGCGCAGGCCCCCACCCAAGGGGTTCTTCACTGCTGCCAAACTGCTGGTGCAACAATAAAAAAATAATAACCGGCATCATCATCATCATCATCATCATTATCTGGGTGTGTTGAGGTCTTGATCAACCACCCAGATTGGCCTGTAGTGCAACCCCCTCGCCAGGGGGGTCTTCAAGTTCCTCAGCAAGCTGCCACGTGGCAATGCAGATGGCCACGTGCCCAGGCAGCAACAGCCACGATGCCTCCGCGCCGGGGGGGGGATGGGGGGCAAATAGCAGCCCACCCGCGGCTCGTTGACGGGGGGTGGGGGGGGGGGCGGTAAATAGCTCGTGTGAAACTTTTCAACACGAACCTTCCGCACTACAGAGCCATGAACACAGTTTGGCCAGTGTGTTACAGCACTGGCTACGCATGCGCATGGCCAGCAGCTGCCCGGGTTCAAACCCTGGCGGCAGCGTGCATCCCGAATCTTGATATATGTCATCCGAGAAGGGAGTGGAGCGGAGCGGGGGCGGGGCAGCGTGGGCACGTGGCGTGTGCGTGTGCTTTGGCCAAGAGCAACAAGATCACGAAGATCCCCAGGATCTTGGCCTTCAAGTGCTGGCAGCCTGCTGCTGCAGCAGAAAATAATAATCATAATAATAATGATGAAACAGTCAAGGGTTGGCTGAGATCTTGATCAACCACCCTGATTGCACTGACGCGCAGCGCCCTAGCCAAGGGGGTCTTCACTGCTGCCAAATTGCTGGTGCAGCAGTACAAAAAATAATCATCATCATCATCATCATCATCATCTGGGTGTGCTGAGGTCTTGATCAGCCACCCAGATTGGCCTGTAGTGCAGCTCCCTAGCCAGGGGGGTCTTCAAGTTCCTCAGCAAGCTGCCACGTGGCAGTGCAGATGGCCACGTGCCCAGGCAGAAGCAGCCACGTTGCCTCTGCGGGGGGGGGAAGGGGGGGGGCAAATAGCAGTCCACCCGCTGCTCGCCGATAAGGAGGGGGGGGGTGTGTAAATAGCCCGTGTGAAACTTTTCAACACGAACGTTCCGCACTACAAAGCCATGGACAAAGTTTGGCCAGTGTGTTACACTGTCTACACACATGCATGGCCAGCAGCTGCCCGGGTTTTCAAAACGTGGCGACAGCGTGCTCTCTTTCCGTGCCACCTGTCACAACCTCCCAGCTGCACTTTCTTCCCGCACATTTGCTGCAAAAACAGCCGAAAAGCGGCCAAAATCCCGATAGCGGGATTTACCGCTTTTCCACGTTGACGGGGTGTGGTGGGTGGGAGCGGGGAATGTCTCCGCTCTGACACCAGTGTGACAGACCCGCCGGAATGGCGCTCCGTCAGGATCAAGACGAAGGGTTGAAGGGGGAGGAGATGGAGATGGAGCTGGAAGGGACAGCACAGCTCCGACGCAGACTCAACACGGACCTACTCCAAATGTGCAGAATGAAGAATGCAGACAAAACAGACTACCCCCAGCGGACTGTCTGGACTGGACTGGACTGGTCTGGTACGGACAGTGGTGCCGGGTAGGACTGGACTGGACTGAAACAGCACATGGCCTGTGGGGTCAGGCCACGGCCTGGTCCCACAGGCCGAAGAGGCAAATAGCCCAATAGGCCCTGGCTGTAGGCCAGGGCAGATAGAGGCCCCCTGCAATGGGACCGGGACTGGTTGTCTGCCGCGTGAATCCTTTCACTACTCACTACAGGCACAAACGACCGAAAATGTGGTGGTGTATCTTTCCGTTCTGCAGGGCAATTTTTTATTCTCATTTTGCATATTTGGTGAGTAGCGGATAGATGCACCATGTCCTTGTATTCGAACATGGTCTTGCTTGTCTGTCCCATCTTATTGGTTGTACTTCTGGCCTTGGGCACCTTGCCCAAATGAGAGGGCCCTTCGAGCTGCAAGTGTCTTCTAAAAGAAAAAGAAAAAAAAAAAGAACATGGTCTCGCTGCACTACACAACACCTACATGTCTTTGGATTTGTTTGTATGGATTGTACATAGCACCAATGCCCAACATCTGGTGAGTAGTGCATAGGGGAGGCTGGAAAAGGAAAAACGAAGCAAGAGGGAAAAAAAAAAGAGCGAAGCGACACAAAAAATACAGAGAAGATTCACACGGCTCCTGCACAAGGATGAAAGTGGGCAACAAAACGACAAAAAAAGAAACGAAACACAGGCTGGCACTTGTCTGGATGCATCCGGCTCTGATCACGCCCAAAGTGAGAAACGCCCTGCTGTGAGTATGATGTGGCTACGCCGGCCAAGCCCAATTATGTACTTGTATTTGAACATCTGTTCGCGCAGACCTTGCGCCCAGCAAACGTTGCGGATGGAGAAAAAGTGGAAAAAAAAATGGATGCGCAGTACCCCAACGGTTCTGCCCACCATCGGTTTCTGCTGGGCCCAGCGGGGAGCGTCAGCTGAGGCTCGCTGCTCTCTTTAGGAGGTAGACAGATTCCTATTTGGTTTGCCGAGTCTGGTCCAGAATCTGAGTGGCTGGCATGTTCAGTGCTGGAGCAGCCACAGCTTAGCTGTCCAGTAAAATTAACGTGGTACGGGGACCACACGGTCATGTGCTTGCACGCGGGTTCTGGAGTGAATCACATATGTGATTGAGTCACTGGTCTGGAGGTGATGAGTGGGCCGATGATTTTGTAAAGATGGCAGTATTGTGATTCATCAGGGAGTCGCTTAAAATACAACTTCCTGTGTGGTTGGCTGTCCTTGTGATAATTGTGATGCTATGCCACAGAAATAACCAGCCTTGGCTCAAAGACACGTGGTGGCATGGCAGGGGGCACTCGACTAACAATTTCCGGAAGGGGTTTCAACTTTGGGGCCAATACGGATTTTCAGAACGTTGTGGTGGTCCCAGTTCCTAAGAGCCCTGGCAACCCTTTCGGCGGAGTTCTGTGTGATGTAACGTCATCCAGTGACACGGAGGTAAGATGTACAACGAGACCAAACTGCTTTACAAGTGGGAGCGTCAGTGATCCTGAGCAGTGCAAGTATTCTCCATCACCACCAGCTCCTGTTGCTGTGAATGTCTGCAAGAAGAATATCACAGACAATGGGAAATTGCAGTGTTGGGCTGAGGACAGAACAGTTGACCCGATCTGCCGAGACACAACAAACAATTGCATGTTTCAATACTCATTCGGTAAGCTCCCCTTGGGCAAACTCGCTATGCTCATCCAACAAAGTGGTCCCCTGTCAAAATTCAACCCGTGAGATGAATTTTCTAGGCCAGGAAGCAAATGCATTGCTGTTACTTTTTCAAAATACCAATAGTACAGAATAGACAAAGCAACTTGTCAGAGTTGAGGGAGTGAAAGAAAAATGAGTCAATGCTTGCCAGAGTAGGGGCATACTGACGAGCGGACAGCAAATCCGCCAAATATACAAATTTGTGGAGGGCCGGTTTGAGGATTTGGTGGTGGTTAGGGTCACACTGCATTACATTTTGGGATGGGACATGGACGAGGCTTCCACTGCACTAAATCTTTTGTTTCTGTTTTTTCGGAACTTTATAAGTTTATATCAACAAGTGGACCCAGCGCGGCGATGCCGCTCCCCAGGTGCGACCCTTCCTATACCCGGCAGGGTCGGACGTGCAGCTTGTAGGTGCGGCGACCGAGGCGGGAGCAGAGAAAAGATAAAAGAATCGACCGAGTCCCATGACCACCTCCAGCGCACTTAGTGCCAACCGGCTGTGCTAGTCCCCTCGATACCCCTGATCGGTACTAGTAGGGTCTATGACCAACACCGATGTGAGTGTGAGTGTGAGCGGGTGGTGTGTTGTGTATGGGAGAGCATTGTGTGTTGTGTATGGGAGAGCATTGGCATTAGCCACGGCTGCTACTCAGTGGGAGGTGGGGGAAGTAGATTGGAGGTGCAGCTACTGGCAAAATGGTCAGTCTTTGAGGTAGCCCCCCCCCCCCCAACTCCCTGACCACTGCTAATCATGGCAGGGGCCAACATACATTCCCTTAATTCTGAGGGGTAGGTTGACAGTGAAAGTTGAAGTTGAGAGAAGAATAGTTTTGAAAAGAAACAAATATGGCAATGTATGCTTCGAAGTTCCAGCCGAGGATTCAGTCACATTTTGCACATTTGGAGAGTAGTGGAGCGAGGTCCGCTGCCATTAGCTCGGTCGGATCAAAGCTTTCTTCTAGCAGAGGATTCAGGGCCGGGCTCCACTACACTCCAAATGTGCAAAATGAGACTGAATCCGCTGCCAGAACACAGAAAGATACATTGCCACATTTTCTGTCTTTTGTGCATGTCGAGAACAGTGGAGCGGAGCCCTAAGTCACATTTGCACATTTGGAGAGTAGAGAGGGTCTCGCCGCACGGCACACGAAACGAAAACGAAACCAGTGCATCTGGCCAACAAAGGTGGCAAAATACACTGGTTACCATTTATAGCAAACCGATGAACCTGGCCATTTTCTGTGGGAAGATTCATTCGTTTCGTTTTTCGTTTCGTGTGCCGTGCGGCAACGCCCAGAGACCCGCTGCCATCGGCTTGCATCTGGATTCAAGCTTAGGGGCCTCCAAGCCATCAGTCACATTTGCACATTTAGAGAGTAGCGGAGCGAGACCATTGGCTTGCGTCTGGATTTGAGCACCAGTACCTTTCCCGCGTGGGAAAATAGGGAAAACTGGCAGTTTTCCCAGGCGCCTGAATTTTCAGAGGTCGGGCCCGACGATGACTGCCGTTGATAAATCTGATCGGCGGCCGTCGTTTCGTTTCGGCCGCTGCAAAGGTCGGATGCCTACCCGAGGCCTGCTATTTTCCAAGCGACAAAGGTACTGGTGGGCAAAAGACAACAATCATGGCCATGGATGTGTCTCTCCATGTCGTGGCGGAAGATTCACTCTACTTTTGCCCATGTCGAGAGTAGTGAGGCCCTGGGTCGTGTCTCCACAGTCGTTACTGGACCAACCGACCCAGAGAAAGACAAAAAACAAAAAGCATCTTTCCATCTTCTAACAGAGGATTCACTTTTGTTTCGCACTTTTTTTTTTTTTTTTTTGCAGACAACTGCGCCTGTGACGGCTGCACAGTTTCAAATTCGCAGGAATAACAGTCCACTGCAAGCTTGGGTGAAGACCAGCTCCAAACTGCAAGAAAAACAGTAAGGTGGGAGCACAACGGCCTACCGGTTCAGTAATTGGCAAAAACGGGAGGTGGCGGTCGTGTTTTTTTTTTTGTTTTTGTTTTGTTTTGTTTTGTTTTGTTTTGTTTTGTTGTTTTTTTTTTTGTTTTTTTTTTTTGTTTTTTTTTTGCGCCTGCCACGGCCGAGCTGTCTAGGCCACACCCGTGGCCTGGCCGGGGAGCAGTTAACCGGTAGCAGGCCCTCCCGTTTTTGACTCGTTTCCCCAGGGTTGTGGCCTAGGCATCTCAGCCGTGGCCTAGGCACCTCGGCTGTGGCCTAGGCATCTCGGCCGTGGCCCAGCCACGGGCGTGGCGTAGACATCTCGGCTGTGGCCCAGCCATGGGCGTGGCCAAGACATCTCGGCCATGGCCCAACCATGGGCGCGGCCGTGGCATAAGCAGGCGCAAAAAAAAAACACGACCGCCACCTCCCGTTTTTGCCAATTGTTGATCCGGTAGGCTGTCATGCTTCCCACCTTACTGTTTTTCTTGCAGTTTGGAACTGGTCTTCGCCCAAGCTTGCAGTGGACTGTTATTCCTGCGAATTCGAAACTGTGCAGCAGTCACCCGCGCAGTTTTTTTTTTTTTTTTTTCGAGCTATATTCTTCTCTCAATTTCACCTCACACTACCTACCTACCACTACTCCTAATTGTAGGCATACGGGAACCCCGTAGCAGCCAGAACCGTGTTCATGAGAGAACATGCGGGGGCTGCTCCCGACTTACAGGTGGGCGATACCAACTAGGGGACAGACCGGTAGCATCACGGAGGAGTAGTGGCGCGAGGTTGAAAACGACAAAGAAAAAAGAAACAGACTCCAAATCTCCAACGGGCCTTGCTCAAATTAATTGGAGCGGGCTGTGCAACAATCGCATTAGCTGGAGCCGCTGTAGGTATTGGAAACGTGTTTAGTTCTTTGATTCATTCTGTTGCACGAAACTACTCTCCAAAAAATGAGAACGAATCCTCCTCTAGAACATGGAAAGATACACCGCCAAACACAGCCACGCTCGTGCCTGTGTCTTTATGGCGAGCGCAAAATGACCAAAAAAAAGAAGAAACGAGTCCTCCACTGCAGCGCCCTGTCCCACACGGTTCTTGGGCCCTGTCACAGATTCTCGCTGGGCCCAGGGGGACGTCAGTTGAGGCCTGGGTTAGTCTTTAGGAGTGTACATAGAGATGAAGGCTGGAAACCGGGTCCAGCGTCCCTTACATTTGATACGCACACAAC